TGCCCACACCATCACAATGACAGCATCACAGATTATCTGCCGCCCTCAGAAATGAAGGAACTAGGAGACATTTTCACAACTTCTCTGTAGACCGTTCCCTTGGTGGCTTTGCAGCAGCCTATACTCTTCACCACCATCACAGTTTGTACCAGAACTTTTACAGAGTTTAAATTACTATATGTAAATCAAGTACTTTTTCAAAAGCTGCATTCATTTTCTATTATGTCAAAGCATGACTATCCATTAATAGTCTAAAAGAGAATCTGAAGATTCTTAAATTTCTCCCAGGAAGATAATAAGTTACTCAGTTAACAGCACTTTTTGAATAAAAACTTCTGTAGGAAGTTGGAGATGTGGGCCCTGTCTTCTGAGAGAATCCAGGGCATTTGAAGCACTTTCTCAGGTACTATAATGACTCCCCAGTCCCCCAAAGGGAAAATATTCTAGCCCAGCTGAGATAAGTAGAATTATCTCTGGAGCCACTTAGGGCCATGCAGGACCCACTTGCCCTATCAAATGGATGCCCCTCTATCAGGCTTCAGATCTCTAGAGTCTCCAAACCAAAGGAGTTTCACATGGTCTCACAGGTGTTCTGAAAATAGCAGGACCTATTTTAAATAAGAATGGCCCTCAGAAATCCAGGTACATAGAAGTTTCAGATGTATCCCAAATTGGGAATCTGACTCCGAGGAACTCCCCAAAAGGTCGGCAGATGCTGACCTCCCAAATTCTCATTTGGGCATCTGGAGGCTGTCTAAGATTGTCAGCCTCGGAGAAACCAAGCCTGCGCTTACTGTTTTATCTCATTAGAATCCCCAAATGACCCTCCTCATGGAGCCACTGGATGGTGTTATTTATTGCCAGTTTTGACTGTGAACAGACCTTTGCTTGTGCTTTAAAATCTTCTGTCCTTGGGCCGGCCCGGTGGCGCACTGGATAGTGCGCCGCTTGGGAAGCGCGGCAGCGCTTAGTTTGCTGTAGACACTTGATTATGCACCAAGGATTGGGACTGTCGGGGAACAAGGAGGGGTGTAGAAGGGTAATTATTCTCTCTGCAAGGTTTCAGCAGCTCAGCTGTAGTTGCAAAACAGGAAATGTGTATGTTGGAGGAAAATGGTAAACACTGTATAAAATTTAGCAACAAAGGATATGTTGTCTTTATTAACTTTCTGCTAATACTAAATTATAGAGTCCAGCTCAAAGGCAGGAAATAAGGAAATCCTCTGGGATGGGTGAACAGCAACTCACAGGGTAACAAGGGGGTGTTTAATTTTAGAAAGGCATTTGGGAACACTTCCAGCTCTGGTTTTTTTGTTTGTTTGTTTGTTTGTTTTTTCTCTTTTTTTCTTCCTATTAACAGGTTTGTTGAGATAAAATTCACATAAAAATACAGGTTTATGGGCCGGCCTGTGGCTCACTCGGTAGAGTGCGGTGCTGATAGCACCAAGGCTGCGGGTTCGGATCCCATATAGGGATGGCCGGTTTGCTCACTGGCTGAGCGTGGTGCTGACGGCACCAAGCCAAGGGTTGAGATCCCCTTACCGGTCATCTTTAAAAAAAAAAAAAAATCTTCTGTCCTTTCAGGAGTGAGTCCCCTTCTCCCCACAGGAGTGACGCTTTTGACTATGCCACTGTGCCTCTGAAGGGGCTGTGGTTGGTTCACTCTTCTTTGCCAGGTGTATAACCTCTCTGCGTAATGTGTGAAACACCAAGCTGAACGGTGGTGGAGAGAATCCTATTTCAAACATGCAGGCAGTGATTCTCCACCCAGGATTGGGCACTGTACTTCAGACGATCTGAGAACTTTTGTTCTTGACATATACCCCTAACCCACCTACCCCAACCTCCAACCCACTGAGGCTTTTTTTTTTTTTTTTTTTTTGTCTTTTGTCTTTTTCCGTGTCCGGCAACGGATCGCAACCCTCAGTGTCGCCCCCGTACCGGACCGGGGACCGGCAACGGGATCGCAACCCTTGGTGTTGCCCCCGCGCCTCGCTCAGCCAGTGAGCGGGAACCGGTCTGTATGTGGGATCCGAACCCTTGGGCGGGAGCGCCGCCGCGCTTCCCAAGCGCACACCATCCAGTGTGCCACCAGGCCTGCCCGCCACTGAGGCTTTAATAAACCATCTTCTTCCTTCTCCTTCCCACACTGCCTGGAGATCCTCTGGTAGAGACTACCCTTTCAGGGCTGGCTAGTTAGCTCATTTGGTTAGAGTACTGCCTTATAACACCAAGGTTAAGGATTTGGATCCTTATGCTGGCCAGCTGCCAGAAAAAATAAGAATAATCTTTCATAATATGGGTTGCTGCCACAATTTGTGTCAGACTGCAGAGGGAGTAACTCCACACCCCAAATTTCTTTATATTTTAGATAAGGTAGGTCAGTAATGAATTAAGAAACTAAAACTGTGTCTTCAGCATGGCTCCAGGTAGCCTGTCTGGTTAAAATTGTTCAAAAGGCTTTAAAGACACATGTCACTGTTAGTTGGCAAAGTAAAGTAGTAGAAGTAGCCCTTAATAAAGGTCACTTTGGAGGAAAAAAAAAAAGACATGTCACTTTAGAAGGGTATGGTGAAATAAATTAGACATCAAGGATGTTTCCAGAAAATTATTCCTTTCTGTTTCCACATTTCCTACCAAGAGGGAACATTTGTGGGTTCTACTGTTCAAGGAACACCAACACTGAATGCCTTCTGATAGTAGGAAGTATCACCAAATAATCCCCAGGCACCATGAATTCCACACTTTGAAGTCTGGCTCTTCTAGCAATGGTTCCCAAATTTACTGTACATCAGGACCACCTAGGGAGCCTGGTGAAATGGACATTCCATAGATCTGGAGTGGACCCTGTAATCTACAAGCACTTCAGGATTTGGGGTGCACAGTAAAGTTTGAGAAGGCTGCTCTAGGCCAAAGATTACATCCTGGAACATACATCCTACCCCATCCTGTAATTGGTTGGAAAGAATACCCACAGACTCACCCATAATCCCTCCCCTGACATTTTTCTGCTTTCTATTCAAGAAGAATAATTCTACCCTAATCCCTCCTAATTTTTGGCTAGTTATAGGCCTGGTTCTTTCATGTGATTCTCTACCTGGATCACACACCATGCACATTACCCAGATCTCTCTTCTCTGTTCTCGTTTGCACTTTCCCTTGAATTTGCTCTGTAGAAAATATTCTTCCTTTCCCCTTAACTCCACACCACATTTCACTAAATAAGTGGAGAAAGTGGAAGGAGATCTCATTTGTTGTGCTCCTTCTAGTGGCAAGTGTGAGAAATGCCCTCACTCGTCCAGTGCCAAAGGATGGACATGGAAATCTTCCTGAATGACACCTAAGATGGCTTACCCCCTTGCAAGGAATTCCTTTGTCTGGGGGCTCAGGACAAGCCCATCTCAAGGAGAGCCTTACCTGCTCAGTGACCCCCCAGGAAACAAAAGGGGCTAGTAACTAGTTACCATCTCAATAAAACACCCTCAGATAGGTCATTTCTGAAAATGAATCTCTTAGGTTATTTTCTTACAGCAGGCACAGAGGGAGGCTCTACAACACATTGACTTATTTATCCTTCACAATGTCCCTGATAGGAAACTGAGTGGGAGAATTTACAAACTTTGACTAAAGTCATCAGCTATTAGGTGCTATGATAGAGTTAGGATTTGAACCCAAGAACTGTTTGATTCCAAAGCCACTGCTTTTTCCATTATGGCCTGTGCCTCCCAAGCACATGGCCAGCCTGTTCTGGATGCATGCTAATTCTTTCCCTGTATCAACTGAGATCTCATGGATGATAAATCGTTCCCAAAAGTTATGATATATTTCATACGAGTCTTCTATTCAAATAAAACATAAGGTCAAACTAAAATGAGATTAGACTAGAAACAGTCTTTTTAAAAAAATAAAAAAGGAGCAGTCTGCTATTACCACTTTGAGAAAGAGTTGATATTTCTCAAATTCAGTGTTAGCAGAAAATTTGGTATTTTCAAATGGTGTGCAGTTGACATATATCTCTAGGGCCAGAGTTTCAGCATTGCATTTGTTTTCCAGAAAAAGAGCTCAGCATAAAATGCAGCTAATAGTAGGGTTTTGTTGAGGTTTTTTTGCATAATAAAAGTCGTAACTGAGCAACATTAGCTACAGACAGCCCTCCCCATAAATCAATGGAGACTCCATGAAAAGCATTTCAGAAGAATACAAACCCCAAATAGTCTTTGGCAAGGGCTAATTTGCCATGATGATAGTTAAATAAGGAGAATACTGAGTAGCTAACTACAAAGAGACATCTGAAAATAAAGCTAACTGTGGTTGAAGTCCCTCAACTGAAAATTTATGTAAAATTTCTGCACATGTGACAGCCCAAATTGGTCTCTCCTTTTTACAAGGCAAATTTGACAATCCATACCAAGAAGCTTAAATCATGCTCTTTTTACCTAATAATTTCACTCCTGAGAATTTATCTCATGGAAACAATTCATAAGAGGAAGACTATACATGTTTTTATTACAGCATTATTTATAATTAGCAGGAAACTGGAAACAACCTAATTTTCCAATAATAAAGAAAAGCCTTGGTACATTCTGGTAATGGTAATTCTTTGAGATATTATGCAGCCATTAAAAACATGATTGTAATGTACGAACAATGAAAGGAGTGTTCAGTGAAAGGCATAGAAACAAAAATGTAAATATGCAGTGATTACAGACATGCAAAAATACACAAGTTGATAAAAACTAGGAGGGAAAACAAAAGCGAAAAGAGTTATGTTAGCATGAGATTACAAGGGTTTAAACATTAAAATTGTTCTCTTTTGTAATGACATGTTTAGTTTTTAGGGTTTTTTTTTCCCAGCTGAAACTTATATACAATCATATTTCATAATTATTCTTGGATCAAAAGATTGATTTACAAAGGATACATGTGGAACATTCTTTCCAAGTGTGAAATATACAGAATTCCTAATTCACAAATACTAATGCTATTATTTTAATTTTCAGTGAAGGGAATTTGGCTACAAAGCAGGTCGTATTTCTTCAGAGGCCAGTTATGTGGAATTCAGCTACTCAAACACCAGAAGTGAGTAAAATTGATGCTTTATGAGCTGAATGTCATGTTGAAGCATTTAATTCTTAAATTCTCATTGTAATTCCAAGTGGTGAAGAAGTGTGGATATAAAAACAGTCTCTGAAGCAACATATAAGAAGAGAAATGTCTAGCAAACAGGCAACACAAGACAGTTCTGAAAGGAATTAAAATATGCCAACCCCAAAATATACCACTCTGGCATAAGGATTATTTTGAGCTGATGGCAATTAAGAAACAGCAGACACAGGAGGAATTCTTTGCCTTCCCTCTTTCTGCCAAAAACCAGGGCATAAATTTCACTTAATAAAGGTAATATAAATTTCCATTTGTAAAGGTATTTCTTTCTCCCGTACCAGGAAGAGAAGACTCACACTGACTTGAGTCTGCAAAAACAAACGTTTCTAAAATAATCCTGATCTTCCAAAAGTTTCCCCCATATATTTACTTTCCCACAATTTACTTCCCCAGAAGCCAAACTCCTTTTCCTTTGTATACTGTCTTGTCCACAATGCATTACCCTTCGTCAAAATGCTATATAATCTCCCAGGTTTTCTACACCAAACTGCCTCTTTGGGTTTTCTCTTCTTTTTTGTGAAGCCCCTGTGTGCATACAAAATAAACCTTTTCTCTTGTTAACCTGTCTTTTGTCAATTTATTTAATTCACAGGCCTCAGCTACCCTGGGAGGATAAAAAAAAAGTTTTTTCCTCCCCTACAGTTCTAAGTCTTGTTTGTGAATGTGTCTGACCTTGCAATACATCTGTGCAATCTTGGCTATCTTGACCTTTGACAGTACTTTTCTTTTATATTGTCTCCTCAAGTTCATATTTTTTAGGTCTTTGATAAAGGGCCATGCTGGGCCTTATTCTTACTGGATGCACATCTAGAATAGTATTATTGAATGAGGCAATATGTGCATTAATAAAGCATAAATTTCAAAATAAGAAATTTGCAAATGGACAAAAAATTATTTAAAGTGATTCTAATTTTGTATCTATATCAAGAAAACATTATTTTAGAAAACATTAAAGTTTTCTTAACTGTTACAGAGCACACAGGTCTGGCTGCCTTTCAAAAACAAACTACTCAGAAGTCAAATGCTGGTGAAAATGGAAGTCAGTTTTTATTCAAGAATACCAGTGACCTGAGGAAAGATGTTAGGTTAGCCTATCTCTCTGGCAAACCTGAAGGAAAATGGCCAGACTAAAGCCATATGCCCAGTAAATCTGAAGAACAGCCAAACTAAAGCCATCTTCAAGAGTCAGATTTACTGAGGGGTCTTTTAAAGAGTGGGTTGAGGGCCGGCCCAGTGGCGCACTGCTACAGTGCGCCGCTTGGGAGCGCGGCAGCGCTCCCGNTTAAGGGCCGGCCCATGGCTCACTTGGGAGAGTGTGGTGCTGATAACACCAAGTCAAAAGTTAAGATACCCTTGGGGCCGGCCCGGTGGCGCACTGGATAGTGCGCCGCTTGGGAAGCGCGGCGGCGCTCCCGCCCGAGGGTTCGGATCCCACATACAGACCGGTTCCTGCTCACTGGCTGAGCGAGGTGTGGGCGCAGTGCCAAGGGTTGCGATCCCGTTGCCAGTCCCGGTCCGGTATGGGCACGACACTGAGGGTTGCAGACAAAAAAAGACAAACAAACAAACAAACAAAAAAGTTAAGATACCCTTAACAGTCATCTTTAAAAAAAAAAAAAACTTTTAGGGGCTGGCTGGTTAGCTCAGTTGGTTAGAGAGTGCAGCTGATAACACCAAGGTCCAGAGTTCGATCCCTGTACCAGCCAGCCACCAATAAATAAATAAATAACTTTTATTAGAATAAACTTAGCAGTGTTTCATATCCTCAAAACTTATTTCATAAGCATTTACTCCAACAATTGCCCTTAAGTTATGTGGCAAACTTGTCTGACAGTGAATAAATAATGACCCAGTGGTTTTAGAACATTTTAAATGTACATTAAATAGCTCTGAGCCACTTTAAAAAAAAAAAAAGGAACAAAATGTGGACTCTATATGCCTAAGAGTTAAATGTGACTTATCTTATTACCTGCCAGTTGTATATTCAAATCTTTTTATAAAACCATGTAATTCTTTAGGGGATTTGGCATGTGTAGTGGATTGAATTATGTCCCCCCAAAACTCACTGAAGCTTGGATTGTGTACCCCAAGTTTTATGTATTAGAAACTTGGTCCCCAATGTGACTGATCAAAGGGTGGGAAATCCTACTATGGTAATTGAAAGGTGGAGCTTTGCAGAGATGATTAGATTGTAGGATCATGCCTTAGGAAATGGATTAAAAATGGTGGTCAGGGGCGTGGTTCTGAGGGATTTAAAAAGAAAGTAAATGAGAAACTCTCTGCTCTCTCTGCTTCCACCATCTTGCAATGTGAGACCCCTGGGTCACTGTCACCACCACCAGATGGACTTTGGACTTCCCAGCCTCAGAAACTGTAAGCAATAAATGTTGTTTTTCTTTATAAATCACCCAGTTTCAGATATTTCGTTATACGCAACAGGAACGTACTAATACAGCATGTAAATTTTGAATACCTATAAGTTACAATGAAAAAGTATCAAGATCACAGACATGGGTGTGAAGTTCTGCCATTCCCTTTGGTACAATATCTATGGCACTTTCATCTTAGTTCTCAATAACCACTTCTTAATTCCATGCCATTTGGATTGAATGTTGCCCCGTTACCTTTCATGGACACTTAACACCTAATCACCAGGAAACCACCATTGAGCTGAGGAGCAGATCTATCAATGTCACTAAATGAAAGGGTCACCCTCTCTAAGAGATTCTAGGGCTTCCAGGAGTCCTCAGACACCCATAGAAGCAGGAGGCAGAGCTACAGTCAATCCAAATCTCAACCATCTCTAAACCATTTGTTTTATCAGGAGCAGGTGTTTTATATATCGGATGTAAATGTACCAGATGCATTTTTATTTTTTTCATTCTAGAATAGACGAGGAGCTGTCTCGTTTCCCCAACCTTTCCTATTGCTGATTCCTCACTACTCTTCCCTCTGGCTGGAGGGACCATGGCTCTTCCCCTCAGCATAAGGCTAAAGAGATTTTCCTTCTCTTAAATTCTCAGGGCCCCAGAGTAGACCTGTATGGAGAAACTAAATTCTGAGTGAGAACTCAAAGGGAATATTTGCTAACAATGGGGAAGAGTCTACAACCAAGCATGTTAAATACAAATTTACTGGTGGATACGTAGAAAAACTGGCTAAATGCTAATCATCGGAACTTGTAGCATATCCTTTTTTTTCTTTCATTGGAACATAGTTGATTGTACATATCTGTGGGGTACAGCATTGAATATCAATACCATACCCATTTAAATAATATTTATTGTGGCAATTTATTATCCCTGCAGAATGATTTTTTTGTTTTTCTTTTTTTGGCAGCTGGTTGGTACAGGGATCTGATCCCTTGACCTTAGTGTTATAACACCATTCTCTAACCAACTGAACTAACCAGCCACCTGAGAGTGAATTTTATTTGTGTAATAGTCCAAAATTTGTTGAACCAGGTCTGACAAATGATGAAGTTCTAAGATGGTGTTTCAGGTGGAAAATTAGACAAAACTCTAAAGTAATGAGCCTTGTTTTGGTGAAGCTCACAAAGTTTTTGTGGAGACAATGGCAAAAATGTGTTACAAAAATGTTTTGAGCATTAAAGTCATTGTATGTATAAGTAACAGGTAAGTAGAAATCAATGTATGCATAAGATACATGTGTAAGTATCAAGCTGATTCTTTGAAGGCTTGTATCAGCCAGCATTCTTATCTGCAAGCAACAGAGCTGACCTCAGCTCATTTAGCAACAAAGGAATTTATTTCAAAGGGGACCTGGAATTGGACTTGATCAAAATTTTAAAGTTCTGTTAATCAAAACTCAAAATTAAAGGAATAAAATAGGCAGGCCACAGAATGGGAGATATGTTTGCAAGATATATCTGACAGAGGATTCTTATCATGAATACATAAATGACTCCTATAAATCAATAATAAAAAGACACAGCACCCAATTATAAGTGGGCAAAAGGCTTGAACAGATGTTTCATGAAAGAAGATATACAGACCTCTGCTTGCAGAAAGATGGGGTAGATTCCTCCCATGAAGTATAAAAACCCTTAACATTGTATATAAAACAAACATAAGAAGACCGGTGGTGAGCTCCTTGGTTTTATTTTTGCATCATGTATCTCATATTTGGAGCTGAAGAAGCCAGCAACCTGGAAATGCCAATGTCGCAGACAAAAAAGCCTTAGCAAAAGCCTAGTGACTATTTAGCACAGCAACTACTCTACTATAGTGAGACACCACAGTAGCACCTGTGGACCCGTGCCCCCACCTATGCACCCAAACACCAAGTAGGGAGCCCAGATTTCCACTCTCAAGAGGCAATAACAAGGGGCCCAACACCCTAGACAGGATGGTATCAGAGAGGGATGTGTAGGGAGCTGGAACTTTCATTCCCACTGGCCAGTAGCTAGCCCGCCAGCCCTCACCCCACAGTGTTAATGGAGACCATGTAGGGAGCTTGGACTTCCACCCCATCATAGTAATGAGGCATTCTTCTCTCTCCCCACTACGGTGGTATCAGACAAAGCTTAGTGGAGAGTCAGGATTTTCACTATTACCACATCCACTGAGCTGTCAATGGAGAACAGAGAGAGAGCTAGCACTCCTGCCTTTGTCTGGCAGTAGCTGCCTCCTTTAGATGTCAACAGAGGTCAGGTGGGGAAGCTGGTCTTCTACCCCCACCTCGCAGTAACTAAGGCAGTACCCCCGACCCTCTCCTGGACTGGTGTCAGGAAAGGGCAACTTACACAGAGGTGTAAACAACATCCAGAGTCTCATAACATAATATGAAAATGCCCAAGTTTCAACAGAAAATTTCTCTTCATACCAAGATCCAGCAAGATCCCAAGCTAAAAAAGAAGACATTAAATGCCCCCATTTTTCTTATCTTGGAAAAAAAAAAGACAATGAAGAGAGGCCAGCAATGAGATGAGAGAGATGTTAAAATTATCTTTAAAAGATTTTTAAGCACGCATGGTAAAAATGCTTCAACAAGAAATTATGAAACAAATGAAAAAACAGAAATCCTCAGCAAAGATGTAGAAGATCTAAAGAAGAACCAAGCGGAAATTTTAGAACTGAAAAATACAGTAATGAAAATAAAAATCTCAGTGGGTGGGCTCAACAGCAGATTGGAAGGGACAAAAGAAATCTATGCACTGGAAAATAGAATAATAGAAATTACCCAGTCTGAACAACAGAAGAAAACAGACAAAAAATAATAATAATAATAAAAAAATAGACCTTCAGGACCTGGGACAATAACATTCAGGACCTGGGACAATAACAAACAGCAAAAGAAGATTTAATGCTCAAGTCATTCAAGTTCTGGTGGAAGGACTGAAGAAAGAGAACGGGGCTGGAAAAGGACTGGAAGAACTAATGGCTGAAAACTTCCCAAATTTGACATAATTTACGGATTTGAGAAGATAAAACTAATCTATAATGATGGAAATCGGATTAGCAGCTGCCTGTGGGAGTGTGGGGGGCGGGGTTGTTGACTGCAAAAGCACATGG